TTACATGGTATGAAGCCATATGAACTGTTGATATGCTAAAATAGAGGGACTACACGTTCTAATGAGGAATTCAATGATATCGAATGGGATGCATATAATACATTTTTTCATATGAAAAATTATGGGGAGATACTGTAAACATACTGTTGTGATAATGTTAAGCATATGAAATTATAGCAAGTTGAATTTTCATACATCTTCCCATAAAAAGTTTAACAGATGCAGAGATACCAAGGAGGGTTTTTCGGGAAATGTTTAGTTATTGGCCCATCGTTTTTGGGGTGGGGGCGGAGGGGGAGGGGGCGTGGCCCCCAAACCCCCCTCATTTGAAAGGGGACAGTCGCCACTTTACGAAAAGCCCCACCCCCCCTTGGGGACCTCCCACAGACCCCTAGGGAACCGTTTGAAAATGGGGTAAAAACGGCATTTTCCGAGGCAAACTGAGCAGTTTGAAGTGGAATATAACCCAACTAACGAAAACCGTGGGATTTTTAAATACAAGAAATTATCCCAAGTTGGTTATCAGGCGATTTGAAAAAAAAAAATTAACTAACAAAAAATTAAGGAAAAAAAATTAACTAAAAATATTGTGAAATTAAGAAAAACGCGACAGATAGAAATGTTGTAGTAATAGTAATATGATAGTATTTTATCGCAGAACTTCTTTTTGCGTAGGCGGCCTTCGGCCGCACTTAGGGATTATAACCCTCACTACGTAGAATTCTCTTCTGTGTTGCCAAAGAAAGGGGGCTGACTGGGTTATATCATATTTTCTTTTGTCTCTCATCCTTCTTGTATATTTAGCAGTTTGACAGCTAAACGCCGCCATTTAATTTGCATATGCAACCAAAGGCAGACGCGTGGTTTTGAAGGTGTTTTTATTTAATAAATTGTGATTGATAGGTTAAAATTAAAGTAATAAAGAAAGTTGTAACAAGTCGAATAAAGTTTAAAGTGAAGGGGAATATAAAAATGCATTGGTGAAGTGGCTGTTTTAAGGAAAATAGGAGTGATAAATGTACGCTAATTTCCGAATTTTACAAAAAAAGGGCATATTTCAAACCCAATTTATAAATAAATTAGTGACCAAAAATTACAATAGTGGATGTTAAAATAATGGGTAGACCCTTGGCTACAAGTGTGTGCAATTTTTTTTGGATCGGGTCACCCCTTTGGACGCAATACCCCGAAATAGGTGGGCCACTTACTAAACAGTACCCGGTTTTCCCCTTTTTGATGCCTTTTTTAATATAAAACTCACCGAAAAGGAGGAAATCGGCAACTCCGCCATTCACATACATGTCAAAAGTAGGAATTTTAAAAATTAAAAACAATAAACAAACAATTTCAAAACAAAAGATTATTTGTACTAGATCTTTCTCAATAGAAGCAACTCACGTATTGTGGGCAATAAAAATACAAAGCACTATAATAACAAGACATCACACAACAGTTTAATGAGCTTTATATCACATTTAAGTAAAAATAAGCCTATATTGGCCAAGCTGGTAAAGAAATGAAAATGTGTATTTTTTGTTGTTTACAAAAAGACTTGCCAAATATACATATAAGTCAAAATTATAGAAGGCATGTATACCTTTCCCTTTCATTTTTTCATACAGTTGATGGTTCTTTCTGGCTTTTACAAAATGCAGGGATACCACACTTATTTCGGAACAATATGATCGTAATGTATTTTCAATTCCAGATTAAAGAAAAACATCCTACGAAAATGTTTGCCATTGTAGAACAATAAGTGCATATTTGCAAACTTATGCAAAGAATGGAGTGTCATATCTTAAAAGGTTAGGTGAATCAACGAAACAAACAAACATTTTATGGTCTTATGTTTCCTTCCGCATTGCTATTTTTTCTAACTCTTCCTTTTGTTTTGCGCTGTAACCGCTTAAGTTATATTTTTTAATTTATATATGTGAACATTTTTTCATTTGCTCCTGAATTTTGGGTACATTTTCTTATAGTACCTCTCATTCTTTTTTATATTATATATATACACTCCGATGTTTGGGATAGTATTTTGAATATACCAGCAATATATGTAAAAGTAGCGACGGCTGCTGTAGAGTAGTTATTAGCAGTGAGCGCTACCATTATGCAGCGCCTGAGTTCAAGCCGAGTTTCCCACCAACATCAAAATATAAAAACCAAAAAAGTTTTTTTCTAATAGCGGTCGCCCCTCTGCTGGGTATAGTAAACCTCCGAGTGTATTCTGTCATGGAAACAGCTTCTCATAAAAATACAATTGCCGTTCGGAGTATCGGAGGAGAAGCTAGGCCAAACACTAACATATTGTGTAAGCGCCAATATGTATATCGTTGTTTAAAGTACAAAAGCGCGTATCGTGGTTCTGCAAACCCTCGTAACTGACATTTGTGCCAAAAAAGATATTTGCTCACCGGAAGCTCCTATCATCAAGCCCTTAACCATTTATACTTAAATATCCTGTAAAATTTAGGCAACCTCACATACAAGGTTTTATATTTTCTTGATGCGCGGTTTTGTTCTTAAAATGACGATATTTAAAAGTTCTGCATACATATTGTGGTTCCTTTTCAAGTATAAAATCCATTGATAAACGAAAGAAAACGGCATCCCTATGATTTCAACTTATGCCAAACGTTTTTAATATGAAAGACAAAAATCCTAAACAAGCAATTTCTGAACAAAAAGCTGTTTATCCACAAAGATGTTTGAATGGAAGCATTACAGATTTGAAAATATGGCAAACCGCAAGGCTTTATTGGCAGTAGGTCCTTTTTAAAGCACATAAAAAAATAAGCTTCTACATAGTTTCGAAGTTAGCACAAAATGAAATTTTTTTGTTTGTTGTTTACAAAAAAATACTTGCCAAGGCGAATTAATGTAAGGTGATAGCAGGAGTACAAAAACAAAAATTTACATGTATTTTGTTTTTGCTTTGGCGGCATAAACTGTCAAAATCTGTAAGAGTGTGTGTAGAAATTCAAACAAAATTTTTCAATTTGATATCAGAAGCCGTGCGGCGAAACACTACACAAAATCAGCTGAGCTAGTAACACCACCTTATAAATTCGCCTTGATACTTGCCAAGTATATAAGTCAAAATTGTTAAATATATATCGCTTTCATTCATTTCTTCATAGAGTTGGTGCTTCTTTTATAGGAAAATTCATACGGCTTATGAACACATTCATACCATGTAAATGCACCATAACCCGAATCCAAAAACTTTAACATACACGTGTAATCAAAGGATTAAACCTTGAGTTAAAATAAATGTTTCAAATTATTAATAAATTCGGTTTGCACTACGCACTTTTTTGCAAATTTCGATGTGATATGCACAAGAAATATTGTATACCTTTGACATGCGGAAGCCCCTCTTCCCCGCAACACAGAAAGGAGAATTCTACTTAGTAAGGGTTATAATCACTGTTGCCAACTTAATGCTTTTCGCACTAAATTTATTGATTTTCTTAATTCAAAACGCGAAAATTTTTGAGTTTGGTGCTTGGTGCGTTTGTTAGTGCTTTTTTATTTAGTTTGAAGACACCAAAACTATAAATCTTAATCAAAAAAGTTAAATTTACAGCAATTAGAAGCTTCGTAAGGAACTTTACAAAAATGGAAATGGCACAATGACAATCATAAGCGAAAGAGCATATGTTTGTCAAAAAAATATGTGGCAGCACTTTCATTCATGCCAGAATTACATACAGTAATTTGCCATTGCCTGCAAAAACGTCAATTTTCTGGAACGAGAAATCGATCCTTTGACCTTTAGTTTGGTCTGAATTTGTTATATTTTTTACGAATATTAAAAAAGCACTAGCATCTCCTAACAGTAAAATGAAAAGCGACCATTTTTAAAAAGGAATAATCGAGTAGGCAGCTTTTTTTACACAAAAAGATTTTTTCCACTATGCGTCGGTGAACGTGTTCAAATAAGACACTTTAAAAAGGGAAATACAATTGTGTTATGTTTCAGGTGTGAAGCGGTCGGAGAGAAAAGTTCTTTACGTTCCTTTAGTTCACCTGATCTTAAGAGACTACAGTGTATATTTATACTTCCACATAGTTCATGAAACTTCATTTTTTGTTGTTACTTTCGTTTGATAGGAATTTAAAAAAAATTAAGCAAAACGAAGAAAAATTTATATTCAAACAGCGCAAATCTAAGCGAAACAGCAAAGCTGGACACAGCTGAAAATTGGAAAATAATAATTGAAGTGTTTACGTCGCGTCATTCGGACGAAAATATTTGAATTTATAGAAAACAGAATAAATTCGACCTCCAAGCAAAAAACATTAATTTTTCGTACTTTGAATCAGCATACCTACAATAAAATTTTGTATGCATATAGAGTCCACTAAATCCTCCAATAAAAAACTTTTCGAGAAAAAACGCGATTTTTCTTGGGTTTTGGTGCTTTTTCAAATGCAAAACTTGGCAACACTGGTTATAATCCCTAAGCGCGGCCGAAAGCAGAAGCAAGCGCAACAGGTGGTGGACCTAACAAAGTGCATGTTTTCAATGGCTTGGAAGAAGCTGTTATTGCATTAACTGGATTGAGAACCAGAGCTTTAGGCATAGGAGGAGTTCTGGCTTGTGGTTCAACAATTCAACCAGAAGCTGACATAGATGCGCCCATGGTTACTATGCCCGACAGCTCCGCATACTTTTGTGAATCCATTGCCATAGCGGTAAATTAATTAAATGGTGCAATCAGTACAATCCGACACGCGCAAGTGCAAATGCATTGCTAAAAATTTTAAGCTCTGTGAGAGTTTGGCGGTCCCTACCCACATAAAAACACTTTTAAAAAATAAAAATTGCTCAGAAAGTGTGATTTTTAGGACAGTGTCACCGGGAAGCTATTGCCATATAGGTTGTTTGAAGCAACTAGAAAAAATTCCACATGAGTTTCTGCCAGAAGAAAATTCAATAACTTTTGATATAGGAGTAGATGATATTCCGCTCTATAAAAGCAGTTCGCAAAGTTAAAAACCGTTAAAAAAAATTGGGACTAACGACACAAATTTTATGTCAACTAAGTTGATTTCACTTGCTCCCTTCATCCCCAGGGAATTTCAAAGGAAACCGCGATCGCTAAATGAAATTTGTTGATGGAGAGTTCCGGCAATTTGCACTTTATTCGGGCTTAGTCGTTTTAAAAGGTATTGTAGGCGAAGAAATGTATCATGAATATTTACTACTACATGTATCTTATAGGATGATGAAAAAAGGCGGTTTGAAGCGAAATTTGTCGAGCCTCCTGGGGCCCGAGATAATAAAATCTTTTAATTATGATGGCATGCAGGGGAAAAAGGCTTTCCGTAACTTAGCTGAGCTTAACAATATATTTTTTAGTAAGTACATACATACTACGTTTATACGTAAGCTATTTGCAATTAAAAATAATTTGCAAATACCTAACTCACTGTTCATTCGATGGTGAAAAATTCTTTTTTAATATTGTCTGATTATAAAAAGGCAATAATATGACCATCGAATAGGAAAATAAAGTTAAAAATGGCAATGTCTTGATTATAAAAAGGCAATAAGATGCCCATCGAAAAACAAAATTAACCTAAGAATGGCAGTGTCTTCCGCTTATTTGCAAATAGCACCACTAATCAATACTTATTTGCGTGATTTAGTTATTTGCAAATAAAAAATTAACTCAGCGTTTATACCAAAGTTTACCATTTTGCAAATAATGCGTGCGATAAACGTAGTAACAGATTACGTTAATCCTTATTTTTAGCGTAGTTAAGGTTTTAAAATGATTTTTTCCTTCTCAATATTTCAGACGCTGCCGAAGACGTGACAATGCGGGAGCAATATCGATCCGAAAGGAAAAGCGGATTTAAATTAAGCAAAAGTCGACAATATAAAGCAACTCATTTGCTTAAGAAGCAAAGTATTTAATTGACCTTTAATTTCCTAAGTAATTCTAATATTTACTTTTATAAGCGTTGATTTTTACTTTTTTGATCTCAATGAATTCAACGATACCTAATTGCAATACCCAAATTTTTTATATTAAATGAATTTCTTTGTATGAGTTAATACTTTTTAGCTAATAAGCCTTAGCGTTACAAACGAATGTGAAGTACATTTCGAGTTGCAATAAAACTGGTTCGAAACCTTACAGAAGTATGTATTTTTTTTTTTAACTAAAGCAGCACTTTTAGAAGAACTGCTTCAAAAGGCCTTCTGAAGTACGTCTTCCAAACGCCCATCTGGAAGCCCTTCTGTAGGTAGCGAAATAAGAAGGCCTTCAATGGTATGTTCTACAAAAGCCCGCCTGGAAGACCTTCTGTAGGTAGCGAAATAAGAAGGCCTTCAGTGGTGCGTCCTACAAAAGCACTTGTGGAAGCCCTTTTATGGGTAGCGGAAGCAGAAGCCCTTCAATTTGTCCCACTCCATACAAAAAAGAAAGGAAGAGGGAATGTTAAGTGGAAGCCCTCTTGACTCCCAGGAGGGCCTTCTGGAAGGGCTTTTTACTCCTGAAATTATCTACTGGGATAGGGGTGATTAGCTTCAATGAGCAAGTAGATGCAGGGGCGAAAAATGCAGAGAATTCGGGATAATTACTGCAGGTGTGCTGGACAATCCAGGACCGGTAAACTACATCCACAGTTTGATAACGCAATAATGGCAAATCGCGTATCAACAAAAAATCACACAAAAAGTCAAAAACTATGGAAAAATCTTTCAAATCATTAAAAATAAACCATGGTTCGAAGACAATTTCAAATTAAACGCACTTGAAATCAAGCAGCTTAACAGAGTTTTAACCGAACATGCTTTCTGCAATAATACATTAGCGACTTTCAAAGTTACAGAGGATGAAAACTGCGAGCTTTGTAATGTTCCAGTCACTCCAGAACACATAATATTTAAATTCGCTAAACACGATGCAAAAAAGATCCAATATCTGGAGCTGAACGAAAATAACACATTAGAAGAACTTTTTAAAAGCAAAGAAAATAATTCGTACCACATAGTGGCTGGATTCCTCAAGCATCTCCCACAATTTGGAATAAAATAATGGGAAACATTTTGCCAGTAAGAATTTGCAAGCAGGATTGTGGCACACGGTTGCATTTTTATCAACATTAATTTGAATCAACAATTTCATTAAATTTTAGAATGAGCAATCTTGTTGCGATTTACTAATGAAAGAAGTAGGTAAATATTCGTTTATTCAATTAATTTACTCGGCTGAAAAAGCTGTATTCGTAATCGGAACGCACTCGAACCACTGTCGATATAGGAAATCCGACAGTGACTTCCACAAAGAAATTGAATCGTATGTTGAAGAAAGTCAGAATAAGAAGAAATATACGTATAGGTCCCGTTTTGGTTTCTACCAGAAATAATTACAAAAATTATTAGCTCTGATCCAGTACTCCATGAACTTACAGGATTTTACACGAACTTGCAGGAAGTTGCAGGAAAAATGTTCCCGTACTCCAAAATCCTGTAAATGAGAGCAACTTTTGGAGAGTTGTGTAGAGAATTAGGTTGCAAGATTTTACCCGAACTTTTTCTTCTGGTAAAACCATGAAAAGTGTCAAGCAATCACTGGTTGACGTTTTTACAGGAAAAATTGTTTTTTTGTTCCCGTACTTTTTGTTGTTACTCACTTTTTACGCTCACTTCAGAGAGTAATTTTGCTCTTTGACAGTTTTACAGGATTTTTCACGAAAAGTATTGGATCAGAGCTATTATGGTCGAAATGCAACCGTGGACGCCAGCTGGCAGTGAAGCTTGCAAATGTTTGCTAATTCCTGTTCGCGCAAAACCTAGTAAGTTTCTCTCTTTGGGAGAGTAAGGTACCTTATTCTCTGAATTTTGTTACTAGCTAATTATTACTGGCAGTTGCATAGCGAACACTTCTAAACTTTTCATTACCAGCGTAGAATAGACCAACAAGTGCTACTTTGGGCTGAGTAGGCAATTGAGAAGTAAAGTCCTCTCTCGTCGTACAAAGATCACACTCTATAAGTCACGCATCATGCCTGTGCTGGTGTATGGCGCGGAAGCATGGACAATGAAAGCATCTGATGAGGCGGCTCTTGGAGTTCTCGAGAGAAAGATTCTGCGAAAGATTTACGGACCTTTACGCGTTGGTGATGGCGAATATCGCTGACGATTTAACGATGAGCTGTATGAGCTTTACAACGATATAGACATAGTGCAGCGAATTAAAATTCAGCGGCTCCGCTGGCTTGGCCATGTCGTTCGGATGGACAAAAACGCTCCTGCCCTGAAAATATTCAACGCGGGCCGCGATGCTGGTAACAGAGGAAGAGGAAGGCCTCCTCTGCGTTGGAAAGATCAGGTGGAGAAGGACTTGGCTTCACTTGGCATTTTCAATTGGCGTCAGTTAGCACAGAAGAGAAATGACTGGCGTGCTGTTTTGGACTCGGCCAAAATCGCTTAGGCGGTTACAGCGCCAAATAAGAAGAAGAAGAAGAAGAATAGACCTGTAAGTGACAAAAAACAAAAACAACGCGAATAAGCTGTTTCTCAAATTCTGGGCACGAAATGTGGTTATTTGCGTTCCCGTACTTCTGGATTATGTTCCATTTTTGAGAGAAAACTTTTCGCTTATTCTCTAATTAAGGGATCCGGTCCGGATTGTTAGGGAAAGAACCTCATATAAAGGTTGAAAATACATCAATAGGCCATTCACTATTCCTTAAAAGCACCAAGTAAATGCAGGCAACTTGTAAACACAAAACAGCTGATATGCACTTTGACACTTTATCCATTTTTGCCTGGAGAAAAAGTCCGGGCACGAAGAAGAATACATTTACGATCCAACTGTGGAATGCATGCGCTCTCTAATGCCCATTTTCTGGAGTACGGGAACGATTTCTGGGCTATTTCGGGCATCCGCGGGACCCCGTGTTGCGTTAGGGAACATACTTATTAGCTCTGATCCAATACTTTTCGTGAAAAATCCTAAAAAACTGTCAAACAGCAATATTACTTACACTTACCATTTTTCCTGTAAAAACGTCAACCAGTGATTGCTTGACACTTTTCATGATTTTACCAGAAGAAAAAGTTCGGGTAAAATCTTGCAACTCATCCTCTACACAACTCTCCAAAAGTTGCTCTCATTTACAGGATTTTGGAGGATTTTGGAGTACGGGAACATTTTTCCTGCAACTTCCTGCAAGTTCGTGTAAAATCCTGTAAGTTCATGGAGTACTGGATCACAGCTATTATTTAACGTGCGATATATCGCTCATTTACTTCAATAGTGTCATAATCTAAATTATACAAATATAGAGCTGAGTATGCAGAAGTAAGCGCTACCTCATGGTACAATAATTACAGGTATTGTCTGTCTTCCCAGAGAGCGCATATTCCGATCTGCCTTATTTGAAAAATGTCATTGTTGCCGATAAGACTGTAAGGAAAAAGGGATATTTCTGTACACCATATACCATACATGTCCATGTATTTTTTTTTTTGAACGAACCGTCTTGCAGAGAACTTATTTAATTTGCAAATGCCGAAAAATAAACATTTGCTTGGTAAACAAATCAAAAATTTGTATTCCTCACTATTTCAAACGATTCTTTTTTTTAGAAAATTTTTAAAAATTAAATTGAGCTAAAACCAAAAGCAAAGCCAACTAAAAGCTCAGTTATGCAAGACTTAGACTTGCCTTGGCTTGAAAATTGTATATCTAGCAAATGAGCAGCACGTGTATTTTTTGTATAAATGTAATTTATTTGGCAATCGAAAAACAAACTTTCAATTAAAGACAGAAACTTAAATAAAAACAATCACAATTTCAAACGCGTAAATACATTTATTTTAATAGTAATTTTTAAGTAATTTTGGTGAAAAAACAAGCTAAACGATTACAATTTACGTGTACATATACAAGTGCTGAGAATCAAAACAAAGAGAAAAGGTAATAGTTGGCACGCTGAGTAATCGCGTCTAAAGGCTCTGTTATGCATACTTGGCATTGCATGCACTGCTATACCATTTTTACGTAGAAATCAAAAACCAACAGACTTCTACGTATGTAGTGCTGTGCGTTCGATAACCGATTACACGCGAGGCTCATTTAACAGATTTCTTATGTGACAGCTCTCAAGCCATGCCAAGTATGCATAACGGAGCCTTTAAGTTTCTAGGTAAGGCAAGTCAAGTCTGAAGGTGCTGGCCCAATGTAGGCTTGTTTTGCTTGCTTCGCTGCGAGAAGTGTCAAAAATTATTTGGAATATACTAAAACGTATAAAGGCTGGCCAAATGGCAACTTTTCTTCACTTGCTTTAAGCGCCTCAAAGTTTGAAATAGGCAAATGTTTTATTTGAAAGCGTTTTGTAGGCTTTTTACAAATGGTTAGTTGTTCCCATATTTATATTTAACAAACATATCGTTATCTTACAGTAAAAAGTTGCAAAACCCACTTTTACAAATTTTACACGAGAGGAAAAAACTTCTTATAGCTCTTTTCTTCAAGTAAATCGCTTTTTTATGTAAGTTATAATTTTTTAGTAAATGTAGATATATGTACATATGTATGTATCATTATTACCATTTCTTTTAAATACAAACATTAATTCGCATTAATTTAAAAATAAATCTAAAAGTTTTTGATAAATTTTCTAGTTGTCTAGGTAAATAATTATTAATGTTAAGGGAACAGACATTGACTTTTCAACCAGACAGCTGGTTACTTTAACAGCGTTCCAAGCCGCCATTCGGCTAAACAAGTTTTTAAAGTAAATCAAAGCAAATTAAAGTCAGCAAAGCGAGCAAAGCAAGCCTGCATTGGGCCAGTGCCTTTAGTTTTTTGTTTTAAGTCATTTAATTTATAATTTTAATATTTTAATTAGTTTTTTTTTTGTATTTTGGAGCTGTAAAAAGGAGGGCAAGTCAGAAGTTGG